ACCCAGTCAGTTTTGAGTACCCAGTAAGGCATCCATCTAGTTATTTTGCAGCCGGGGTGCTATTAAGAACAGTCGCGGCTGGGCATGGTGGCTCATGCCTGTAATCCCAGCACTTTGGAGGCTGAGGAGGGTGGATCACCTGAGGTCAGGAGTTCGAGACCAGCCTGGCCAACATAGCGAAACCCTGTCTCTACTAAAAATACAAAAAAATTAGCTGGGCGTGGTAGCAGGTGCCTATAATCCCAGCTACTCAGGAAGCTGAGGCAGGAGAATCGCTTGAACTCGGGAGGCGGAGGTTGCCACGAGCCGAGATCACGCCATTGCACTCCAGCCTGAGCAACAAAAGTGAGACTCTTTCTCGAAAACAAACAAAACAAACAGGCCGGGCGCAGTGGCTTATGCCTGTAATCCCAGCACTTTGGGAGGCCGAGGCGGGCGGATCACAAGGTCAGGAGATCAAGACCATCCTGGCTAACTCGGTGAAACCCTGTCTACTAAAAATACAAAAAATTAGCCAGGCTTGGTGGTGGGCACCTGTAGTCCCAGCTACTCAGGAGGCTGAGGCAGGAGAATGGCGTGAACCCGGGAGGCAGAGCTTGCAGTGAGCCAAGATCGCACCACTGCACTCCAGCCTGGGTGACAGAGTGAGACTCCGTCTCAAAACACACAAACAAACAAACAAAAAACTAAGAAAACAGTCATCCTCTTTGGGGATTAGGGACAGCCTGCCTGAGCACTTCTCTCTCCCATTGCCCCAGTGAAGTTTTCCGCCACTGGGTTTAGACCCTGCACCACGTAGGGTTGTCTGACCTGCACTTGCTCCTTGGTGGTGTGCAGGCAGCCTGTGGCTCTTGCTGCAGGCTGTGGCCAAAGCCTGGCCTGGATCTTGGTGACTCTACTTCTCCCTGGCCTGAGGAAGCTGCCCAGAGCCTGCCCGCCACCTGCTGCGTGTCTTTGCAGTGGCATTTCACACACACATGTGGTGCGGTGGCAGCCCCAAGGATGGCCGTTCACTAAGGCCCATTGTTTTTGTCTTTTCGCTTCGTGTTTTCTGGCCTGGTGTTTTCTCATATACATGGTGATCCAGGGATAATTCCCAGAATTTTGACAGGATTTTAGGTAGGGTTTGGATCCTGCTGTTTTTTTCACTTAACACGGGGCCGGTTGACTCACACACTGTTTTTTGTTGTTGTTTTTTTGTGTCACCCACTGTGTCACCCAGGCTGGAGTGCAGTGGCATGATCTGGGCTCACTGCAACCTCTTCTTCCCAGGTTCAAGCAATTCTCCTGCCTCAGCCTCCTGAGTAGCTAGGACTATAAGCACAGGCCACCAAGCCCTGCTAATTTTTGTATTTTTAGTAAAGACAAGGTTTCACCATGTTGACCAGGCTGGTCTCGAACTCCTGACCTGAAGTGATCTGCCCACCTCGGCCTCCCAAAGTGCTGGGATTACAGGGGACTCACACTTTGTAACAACCTGAAACAAGGTCATGCATTTCCCTTTGGGTCTTACCTGCTCTTCGGTGGCTGCCTGCATGTGGAGAGACCCTCCCCCTTGGGCCTCCTCCACCTTGTTTCAGAACGGGGCCTCTGCTGGGCCGGCCATGGGTGCCTGCCATGTGAAGGACTCATTAAGGCCCCGTTTAAGCCTGATGATAATGAGGCTTTTGTGGATTTTTCTCTTTAAGCGACCAAGCAAGTGCAGAGAAAACCACCCCCTGCAGAGCCCAAATCTGAGAGAGGTACTCAGGAGCCTGCTTCACTGGGAGCAGCCTCCCTTTGCATGTGTGGCTGTTCACTGGCTTGTGTTTCTAGAGCCGACAGGACCCTTTTCTGCAATGCAGGGTTCTCACAGGGTTCACAGCCTGAAGATGGAGCAGTCCGAATTCTCTTCCCCAGATTTTGTGCAGCTGTGTTTGTCCGACGGGCTTTCTAATCCTGTGTGCTCTCCTTGACTTCAGGGACAATGGCATTACAGGCATGAACCACCATGCATGGCTGTCTCCCTATTTTTCAGCTGAAGACATAGGCTTAGGGAGGTCAGGTGACTTGCCCAAGACCACTCTGCAAGTAAGAGGCACAAAAAGGATTTGGAGCCACCACCACCAAGCCCACTGGTCACCCTGGGTCTCTGAAGTCAGGGAAGCAGGAGGATGGGAGATCTGAGGAGGCAGAGAGGCTGAGCCTGGAGGCCGAGGCCCCATCTGTTGTTTCCTTATGTGGAAAAGAAGAGGCTTCATGTGTTGTATTGCCACAAAGCTTGACTACTTCAGGAACATCCAAGACATGGAAATCAGCAGGGCATGGTGGCTAATGTCTATAATCCTAGCACTTTGGGAGGCTGAGGTGGGAGAATTGCTTGAGGCCAGAAGTTCAAGACCAGCCTGCGCAACATAGTCAGACCCCGTCCCTATAAAAAACATTATTTAAAAAAGAGATATGGAATTCTTTACATCCTAAAAACTGGTGCTGGCTGGGCGCGGTAGCTCATGCCTGTATTCCTAGCACTTTGAGAGGCTGAGGCAGGTGGATCACCTGAGGTCAGGAGTTCAAGACCAGCCTGGCCAACATGGTAAAACCTCTACTAAAGAAGTCTCTACTGGCCGGGCGCGGTGGCTCACGCCTGTAATCCCAGCACTTTGGGAGGCGGAGGCGGGCAGATCATGAGGTCAGGAGATCAAGACCATCCTGCCTAACACAGTGAAACCCCGTCTCTACTAAAAATACAAAAAATATCCAGGCGTAGTGGCGGGCGCCTGTAGTCCCAGCTACTTGGGAGGCTGAGGCAGGAGAATGGTGTAAACCCGGGAGGCAGAGCTTGCAGTGAACCAAGATTGCGCCACTGCACTCCAGCCTGGGTGACAAAGCGAGACTCTGTCTCAAAAACAAAGAAGTCTCTACTAAAAATACAAAAATACAGTCTCTACTAAAATAAGTCTCTACTAAAAATACAAAAATTAGCCGGGCATGGCACTGCATGCCTGTAATCCCAGGATTCCCAGGATTCTCCTCCCAGCCAGGGGAGGCTGAGGCAGGAGAATCGCTTGAACCCGGGAAGCGGAGCTTGCAGTGAGCCGTGATCACGCCACTGCACTCCAGCCTGGGTGACAGAGTGAGACTCCATTCAAAACAAAACAAAACAAAACAACAACAACAACAAAACTAGTACTTATTCGTCGCTGACCAAGCTGCCCATTGGCTACATGGGTGCTTCAAACAAAGAGCTGCCCTTCTCCAGCTCTGGCCAGCAGGTATGTGTTACAGCGAATGCCTGGGGCAGCGGCAGGGGCATTGCTGTGGGAAGCTTCCAGACCAGCAGGAAAGCTAAGTTCTCAGACTGCAGGGGAGCTAAGCGCACCTCGGCACAGAGTGAGGCCTGCAGTTCTCAGACTTCAGTCTTTGGGGAGCTTGAGAAAAATGAGCTTTTCAGGCCTCACCCCTAGAGATTCTGCTCTATCCACTTTCAATGGGGCCCAGAAATTTGCACTTGACAAGTCCTACTTTCCTCCTTGAAAGCTCCAGAGATTCTGATGCAGGGTTCCGTGGGCAGACTTCGGAAAACATGGACCCATGAGACAGAATAGCAGAGTGTTGAAGTGTAACAGGGACCTGGGAAGTGCAGTAACAGAAGCAAGTTTGGGGGTAAAGGACACCCAGAGGAGGGAGGGACAGCATCTGCGTGGAGAGGAGAGGAGACCCCCCAGCAGCTTCTGGGGTGTTGGAAAGGTGCACTTACTGCTATGCATGGCAGGTGGGGAACTGTATGGCAGGGCACAGCAGCATGAAGTGGCATGGCGTATGTGGACAGTTAGGGACAAGCAGGTATGGAGCAGGCATCCTGTTCTGGAGCCCAGATCCCACAGAGGAGCCAGGGAGCTGGCAGGAGCCCTGAACTAGCCGAACAGCTGAACATTCACCCTGTGGAGAAAGGGTCAGAGGTGTCCAGGCTTGAGGGCACAGCTGGGTCCCATCACTGTGTCACCCTTATTTAGGATAAAGGCCCTAAAGAATTGCACTAGAGATTGGCAAAGCATATCTGCCACCTCCTGGAGCCACCCTGGCTGCAGGGATTATAATTATATCCATTTTCAAATTAAGGCCTCTGATTTCAGAGAGGGGAAGTGACTTGTCTGAGACCACACAGCTTGTTGGAGCCCATCTCTTGACCCAAAGACCAAGGGGCCGAGTTGGCCACCTCTCTGGGAGCCGGTGTTGTATAGTGGTTGATGGTTTTCCATTGCTTTCCTGGGAAAGGGGTGTCTCTGTCCCTAAGCAAAAAGGCAGGGAGGAGGAGATGCTTCTCCAGGGCGGCCGCCTCCTGCTGCTGTAGCTGCGCTTCCAACCTGGCTTCCACCTGCCTAACCCAGTGGTGAGCCTGGGAATGGACCTGCGGGACAGGCAGCTCCCAGGGCCTTTTCTGACCCCCACCTGAGTCCTGGCTTCACTCCCTTCCTTCCTCCCCAGGTGAACCTCCAAAATCAGGGGATCGCAGCGGCTACAGCAGCCCCGGCTCCCCGGGCACTCCCGGCAGCCGCTCCCGCACCCCGTCCCTTCCAACCCCTCCAGCCCGGGAGCCCAAGAAGGTGGCGGTGGTCCGTACTCCACCTAAGTCGCCGTCTTCCGCCAAGAGCCGCCTGCAGACAGCCCCCGTGCCCATGCCAGACCTGAAGAACGTCAAGTCCAAGATCGGCTCCACTGAGAACCTGAAGCACCAGCCTGGAGGCGGGAAGGTAAGAGAGGCTGGCTGCGCGTGGAGATGTGGGGGACTGCGCCTGGAGGGGTAGGGCTGCGCCTGGAAGGGTGGGGCTGCGCCTGGAAGGGTGGGGCTGCGCCCGGAGGGGTAGGGCTGCGCCTGGAAGGGTAGGGCTGCGCCTGGAAGGGTAGGGCTGCGCCCGGAGGGGTAGGGCTGCGCCTGGAAGGGTAGGGCTGCGCCCGGAGGGGTAGGGCTGCACGTGGAGGTACGCGGCTGAACGTGGAGCCATGGGGCTGAGCGTGAAGCCATGGGGCTGCGCGTGGAGGTGCGGGGCTGCGTCTGGAGGTATGGGGCTCCCCGCACCTGGGCTCGGCTACCACCCCCACATAACACCCCGGTCCCGTCCAGACCCTCTTAAGGAAATTCAGTTCTTTATTGGGCTCTCCACTACACTGAGAGTGCTCTCCTCAGGCGAGAGCACGTTCTGGCTCTTCTCTTGCCCCTTCAGCCCCTGTTAATCGGACAGAGATGGCAGGGCTGTGTCTCCACGGCCGGAAGCTCTCATAGGGCACCCACAGCGGCTCCCCACCTTCCTTCTGGGTAGAACACGCTGCCACCCATAGGTGGGCATCTCCACTTATGGGCCATCTGCTTAGGTTGGGTTCCTCTGGATTCTGGGGAGATTGGGGGTTCTGTTTTCATCAGCTGATTCTTCTGGGGGCAAGTGGGTGCTCGCGAGCTCTCCAGCTTCCTAAAGGTGGAGAAGCACGGACTTCCAGGGGCCTGGCCTGGACCCCTTTCTCTGCTCCTGTCCCTGTGCCCCTCATCTGGGTATGTTAGGCTGACATACAAAGCACCGCAGTGAAAGAGCAGCAGTGTGCCTCCTCACCAGCCAGGTGTGGGCAGTGGGTGCCTTCCAAGGCCTCTCTGTGGCCGTGGGTAGCCGCCTCCACCCTGCCGCCGGGGTCTTCCCTCTGTGTGTGCTCCTGGTGGCTCTGCACATGCTCATCTTATAAGAACACCATGGCGGCTGGGCGTGATGGCTCATGCCTGTAATCCCAGCATTTTGGGAGGCCGAGGCGGGCGGATCATGAGGTCAGGAGTTCAAGACCAGCCTGAGCAACAGGGTGGAACCTCGTCTCTACTAAAAATACAAAAATTAGCTGGGCGTGGTGGTAGCGCATGCCTGTAATCCCAGCTACTCAGGAGGTTGAGGCAGGAGAACCGCTTGAACCCGGGAGGCAGAGGTTGCAGTGAGCTGAGATAGTGCCATTGCACTCCGGTCTGCGCGACAGAGTGAGACTCCATCTCAAAACAAGAAAAAAAAAAAAAAGAAAAGAAAAGAACGCCATTGCTTAGGGCCCAGCCTGATGACCTCATATTTCACTTAATCACCTCTCTAAAGGCCCTGTCTCCAAATAGAGTCACATTCTAAGGTACGGGGCGGGGGGTTAGGGCTTCAACATATGAATTTGTGGGGACCACAGTTCAGCCCAGGACCCCCTTCCCACCACCCAGCAGAGCTGGGGAAGGGTGAAGAGGAGGCTGGGGGTGCGGAGGACCACAGCTCACTCTGAGGCTGCAGATGTGCTGGGCCTTCTGGGCATTGGGCCTCGGGGAGCTAAGGGGCTTTCTGAAACCCTGGGCCTGTGTGTCAGCTTGCCGCCCCCACGCAGGCGCTCTCCACACCGTTGAATTTTTTATCACTTGGGCCTGAGCCTGGGCCATGTGGAGGGAGGGTGGCCACCAGTGCATGTGGGCACCTTTCCTCAAACCCTGCCACCTACCCTGGCCCAGGCTTCGATGCAGGAGCCCCCCTACCCCTGAACAAGCCTGTGGGTGCAGCGTCGCATCCCGTCAGGATGGAAATGGACGGTTGGGTTAAAAGAGATGCATGTGTAGACCCTGCCTCTCTGCATCAAGCCTCCTTTGAGTGCCCCTGCGTGCCAGACCGTGCACAGAGGTGGGGAAGACTCAGCTGTGCCCCGGAGCACCTCCTCTCATCGAGGAAAGGACAGACAGTGGCTCCCCTGTGGCCGTGGGGACAAGGGCAGAGCTCCCTGGAACACAGGAGGGAGGGAAGGAAGAGAACATCTCAGGATCTCCCTCTTGATGGCAAACGATCTGGGTTAAATTAAAAGTCCGGACTCTCCCTGCTTAGGCAAGTGGAGCTTGTAGTGGAAGAGGGTCTCTGGACCCTCACCCACCACAATGGCCTGATTAGAGGCCTTGGGGAAATAACTCACAGGCGACCCAGGGCCTCTGTCCTGTACCACAGCTGAGGGAAACTGTCCTGCGCTTCCACTGGGGACAATGCGCCCCCTCGTCTCCAGACTTTCCAGTCCTCCTTCAGTTCTCGAAAGTCGTCTCCAGAAGCCCCATCTCGGGACCATTGTGACCTTCATTCTCCAGGGTGCCTGGCCCTGGTGCTGCCCAAGAGCCCAGCGGGGCCCTCACTGGCCTTTCCTGCCTTTCCTCCCATTGCCCACCCATGTGCCCCCATCCTGCTCCAGCACCGACTGCCATCCAGGCACACCCAGGAGCTCCTCAAGTCACATGACAGGCAGCACCTGCAAAGTGCTCCCTTCCCCCCAGTCTGAATCTACTGCTCTCTGTCTGGGGTTCCCCACCCATGCACCCCTGGGGGCCCCTGGGTTCTGACCTGCCCTGCCCGGTGTGCCACAGCAGGGAATGTCCTTCTCTCCTTATCTCTTCCTTCCCTTAAACCCAAATTCAGCTGCCATCTCCTCCAGGAAGTCTTCCTGGATTCCCCTCTCTCTTCTCAAAGCCCCTGAAAACCCTGACCACACTGAACATGCGTGTGCTGCTCCCTAGTCTGGGCCGTGACTGAGGGTGAAGGCCAAGTCTCACGCGTTTTTGTAGCCCCCACAAGACTGTGCAGGTGGCCAGCCCTCATTGAATGCAGGGTTAATTTAACTCGGGCTCTGTGTGAGTGGATGATTCAGGTTGCCAGAGACAGAACCCTCAGCTTAGCATGGGAGGTAGCTCCCCTGTTGACCCTGAGTTCATCTGAGGTTGACTTGGAAGGTGTGGGCACCATTTGGCCCGGTTCTTACAGCTCTGAAGAGAGCAGCAGGAATGGGGCTGAGCAGCGAACACAGCTTTCCATCCAGAACTGTCCCTCCCACTCTGTGGCTGCCCTGCCTGTGCCCATGCGGGGTGAGAGTCAGGCGACCTCATGCCAACTATAGAAAGGGGCAGGCAGGGCTCCAGGTTACGACGTCATCACGCTGGGCGGAGACGGCACATCCAAATATACTAAAGGGTTAAAGGAGAAAGGGTGACTTGACTTTTCTTGAGATATTTTGGGGGACGAAGTATAGAAAAGTGGCAGAGGACACAGTCACAGCCTCCCTTAAATGCCAGGAAAGCCTAGAAAAATTGTCTGAAACCAAACCTCAGCCATCACAAAGACCAACACATGAATCTCCAGAAAAGAAGAAAAAAAAAGTCATACGGGGTCCACGCACAAGGGCCTTTAAAACGACCCGCTGGAGGGTCTCAGGCCTCCTCCTCCTAGACTGGCCTGAAGGCTCCACGAGGTTTTGCTGAGACTTTTGGGTCCCTGTGGCCTCATGTAGTACCCAGCATACAGTAAGTGCTCAATAAATGTTTGGCTACAAAAGAGACAAAGCTGGGGGAGTCTGAAGAATCACTCAATCCTGCCGGAACAGATGCTCACACTGAAGACAGAAGAGCAGGAGCCAAGTCAGGTTTGGGAACCTGCAGAGGCTGAAAACCACCGCAGATTACTGTAAATCATTTGGGAAAAAAAACAGAAAACGTCTCTTTTCTCCTTTGTGCTTTTCTCTGTTTTCAGGATGTGCTACAGTGAACATGTATTGCTTTGCGGGCCCCAAATGGAATTATTTTTAAAGGAAAATGCAGATGATTGGGTGGCCACACTGGAGCACTGGCTGGGCAGGGGTAGAGATTGCAGGGAAGGAGGAAGAGCTGGGTGGGATGCCAGGCAGGAAAAGCCCATAGACCCTGCCGATTTGTGGTGAGCTGTGGGCAGCGGTGTTCCATCCTAACTGCAAAAGGGAGCACCTGGGGGGAAGAGGGGATTCTTTTAAACACCATTCCAGTGCCCGAGCCCCCCGGACCTGTTGTCATCTTGGGTTGGGCTTCCCCTGGGTGACTCTAGTGTGCAGCCTGGCTGAGACTCAGTGGCCCTGGGTTCTTACTGCTGACACCTACCCTCAACCTCAACCACTGCGGCCTCCTGTGCACCCTGATCCAGTGACTCATTTTCCACTTTCGGTCCCAACTCTATTCCTATTTGCAGATTCCAAGTGCCTGGCTCCTCAGTCAACTCAGACCCAGCCAGGCCAGCCCATGGGTCCCACATGCCCCTTGCCAAGGTTGTCCCCACCCTGTCTGGCCTGCGGGAGTAGGGGTGTGTGCAGACACAGAGACAAAGGACCAGCTTTTAAAACATTTTGTTGGGGCCAGGTGTGGTGACTCACACTTAATCCCAACACTTGGGGAGGCCAAGGCAGAAGGATCACTTGAGTCCAGGAGTTCAAGACCAGCCTGGGCAACATACAGAGACCCTGTCTTTACAATTTTTTTTTTTTTTTTAATTAACTGGGCATGTTGGCACTCGCCTGTAGTTCCAGCTACTCCAGAGGCTGAGGTGGGAGGACTGCTTGAGCCTGGGAGGTCAAGGCTGCAATGAGCCATGTTCACGCCACTGAACACCAGCCTGGGCAAGACCCTGTGTCAAAAAAGTAAAGTAAAATGAATCCTGTACATTACATTAAGGCGCCCCAAATTGTACTTAGAAGGATTTCATAGTTTTAAATACTTTTGTTATTTAAAAAATTAAATTGGCCGGGCGCGGTGGCTCAAGCCTGTAATCCGAGCACTTTGGGAGGCCGAGACGGGCGGATCACGAGGTCAGGAGATCGAGACCATCCTGGCTAACCCGGTGAAACCCCGTCTCTACTAAAAAAATACAAAAAACTAGCCGGGCGAGGTGGCGGGCGCCTGTAGTCCCAGCTACTCGGGAGGCTGAGGCAGGAGAATGGCGTGAACCCGGGAGGCGGAGCTTGCAGTGAGCAGAGATCCGGCCACTGCACTCCAGCCTGGGCGACAGAGCGAGACTCCGTCTCAAAAAAAAAAAAAAAAATTAAATAACTGCAGCATATAAATTAGGTTCTTAATGGAGGGGAAAAAGAATACAAGAAAAAAAAAAGAATCTAGAAACAAAGATAAGAGCAGAAATAAATCAGAAAACACAACCTTGCACTCCTAACTTAAAAACAAAACAAAAAAAAAGTGAAGAAAACACAACCAGTAAAACAGAACATATAACAGCATCAAAAGCTGGCTCCCGGCTGGGCGCAGTGGTGCGTGCCTGTAATCCCAGCACTTTGGGAGGCTGATGCTGGAGGATCGCTTGAGACCAGGAGTTCAAGGTTGCAGTGAGCTATGATCACACCACTACACCCCAGCCTGGGCAACAGAGCGAGACTGAGACCTATTTTAAAAAAAGAAAGAAAGAACAGAAAAGCTGGTTCCTTCCTTATTTCATTCCTTTATTCATTCATTCAGACAACATTTATGGGGTACCTCTGAACACCAGGCTCTGTGCTAAGAGCTTTTGCCCCCAGGGCCCAGGCCAGGGGACAGGGGCAGATGAGCAGAGAAACAGGGCCAGTTGCAGCAGCCGGAGGAATTAGGATGGAGAGCTTGGCCAGGGAAGGACATGCAAGGGGAGCAACCCGCACAAGTCAGCAAGCCAGAGAAGACAGGCAGAGTCTTGTTTGAGGCCTGTTCAGTGGCCTTTGAAAGGACAGCCCCCACCCAGAGTGCTGGGCGCAGGAGCTGAAGGAGGGTAGTGGAACACGGTAACGTGGAGCTCTTCAGAGCAAAAGCAAAATAAAGCTAGAACTGGAGGCGGCTGGGGCAGCCGGAGGGCGTGTGTCCAGCGCTAAGGGGTGTGAAGCTTGAGCGCTAGGAGAGTTCACACTGGCAGAAGAGAGGTTGGGGCTGCTGCGAGCCACTGGACATCGCCCAACAGGATGTCCAGTGGAGGAGGGCCCTGAAGAGAGGCTCAGTTCAGCTGCAGTGGCCGTGGGAGTGCTGAAGCGGGCGGGCTGTGGGCAGCTGCTGGGGAGGGTTAAGGGGGGTGAGGGCCCAGCAACAGCAACCCTTCTTGGGGGGTCACTGGGAAACAAAGAGGAGAGTTGAAGAAGCAGGGAGTCCCAGGGGCCATGCAGGGCAAGAGAGAAGTTGCTTATATGGGGCCCAGGCTGCAGGATCAGGAGAACTGGGGCTGCCAGCAGGGAGAAGGGAGTGTGCAGGATCATGGCCAGGAACGGGCCCGGGGGCCATGGGGGGCCTGGTTGGCTCCAAGAAGTTGGAGCTAAAGTCACTTTCTCGGAGGATGTCCAGGCCAGTAGTTGGGATGTGAAGATCTGAAGCAGCACAGAGCTTGGAATCCCAGGATGGACAGAAACCTACCTGAGCAGTGGGGCTTTGAAAGCCTTGGGTGTGCAATATTGAAGATGGCCACAAGATGGCGATAGAATGCTGTAACTGTTTCTTGGTTCTGGGCCGCAGCCTGGGTGTCTTTCTTCCTTCCCTGTGTGTGTTGATTTGTTTCTCTTTTTTGAGACAGGGTCTTGCTGGGTTGCCCAGGCTGGAGTGCAGTGGTGCGATCGTAGCTCACTGCAGCCTTGAAGTCCTGAGCTCAAGTGATCCTTCCACCTCAGCCACCTGAGTAGTTGGGACCACAGGCTTGCACCACAGTGCCCGGCTAATTTCTTATATTTTTTGCAGAGATGTAGTTTCACTGTGTTGCCCAGGATGGTGTTGAACGCCTGGGCTCAAGTGATCCTCCTGCCTCAGCCTCCTAAATTGCTGGGATTACATGTGTGAGCCACCATGCCCGACCTTCTCTTTTTTTTAAGGGCGTCTGTGTATGTGTGCCTGTGTGCGTGTGTGCGTGTGTGCGTGCGCCTGTGTGTGTGCACGTGCGTACATGTGCACGCACACACTCTTGTCTTCACCTTCTCCCAGCCTTACTCTGTCTCTACCCAGTCACCTCTGCCCATCTCTCTGATCTATTTCTCTCTCCTTTTACCCCTCTTTCCTCCCTTCTCATTCACCACTGACAATTATAGAGAACTGAGTATTCTAAAAATACTTTATTTATTTATTTTGAGACAGAGTCTCACTCTGTCATCCAGGCTGGAGTGCAGTGGTGCAATCTCGGCTCACTGCAACCTCCACCTCCCAGGTTCAAGCAGCTCTCCTGCCTCAGGCTCCCTAGTAGCTGGGATTACAGGCGCCCATCACCACACCCGGCTAATTTTTATATTTTTAGTAGAGACAGGGTTTCACCATGTTGGCCAAGCGGGTCTCAAACTCCTGGCCTCAGGTGATCTGCCTGCCTTGGCCTCCCAAAGTACTGGGATTGCAGGCGTGAGTCACCATGCCTGGCCTTAAAAATACATTATATTTAATAGCAAAGCCCCAGTTGTCGCTTTAAAAAGCATCTATGTAGAACTTATGTGGAATAAATACAGTGAATTTGTACATGGGATCGTTTGCCTCTCCTTCTCAATCAGGGCCAGGGATGCAGGTGAGCTTGGGCTGAGATGTCAGACTCCACAGTGAGTGGGGGGCAGTGCCAGGCTGGGACCCTCCTCTAAGACAGAACTGTAACTCTGAGACCCTCCAGGTATCTTTCCCTGTACATCAGTGCTTCTGAAAAATCTTGTGTAAATCAAATCATTTTAAAGGAGCTTGTTTAAAGGACAGTGTAAATAATTCTGAAGGTGACTCTACCCTGTTATTTGATCTCTTCCTTGGCCAGTTGACTTGACAGGACATAGACAGGTTTTCCTGTGTCAGTTCCCAAGCTGATCACCTTGGACTTGAAGAGAAGGCTTGTGTGGGCATCCAGTGTCCACCCCGGGTTAAATTCCCAGCAGAGCATTGCACTGGCCCTGCTGAGCCTGGTGAGGCAAAGCACAGCCCAGCAAGCAGGCAGCGCTGGAGACAGGCCAAGCCTGGGCCAGCCTGGGAGCCAACTGTGAGGCATGGGGCTGTGGGACTGCAGGCTTGAGGCCAGGGAGAGAGGGCTGGGCTCTTTGGAGTAGCCTTGAGAGACCTGAACCCAAACAAAACCAGATCAAGGTCTAGTGAGAGCTTAGGGCTGCTTTGGGTGCTCCAGGAAATTGATTAAACCGAGTGGACACACACCCCCAGCCCCACCTCACCACAGCCTCTCCTTCAGGGTCAAACTCTGACTCAGACATTTCTCCCCTGACTGGGAGTTCCCTGGATCCAAATTGGGAGCTTGCAACGCTTTGTTCTCTCCCTTGATGGTTTTTGTCAGTGCCTCCCCAGAGCTGAAGTGTAATATATATGTTTCTGTAGCTGAGAAATTCAATTTCAGGATTCTAATTTCATAATGACAGCCATTCCCCTTTTCTCTCCCTTCTGTAAATCTAAGATTCTGTAAAGGATGTTGACTTAATGTGACAATTGGCAGTAGTTCATGTCTGCTTTGTAAATACCCTTGTGTCTATTGCAAAATCTCATAAAGGCTTGTTGACTTTTTTGTGGGGTTAGAACAAGAAAAAGCCACATGGAAAAAAATTTCTTTTTTGTTTTTTGTTTGTTTGTTTGTTTGCGACGGAGTCTCACTCTGTCGCCCAGACTGGAGTGCAGTGGCACGATCTCGGCTCACTACAAGTTCTGCCTCCCGGGGTCATGCTATTCTCCTGCCTCAGCCTCCTGAGTAGCTAGGACTACAGGCGCCTGCCATCACACCTGGCTAATTTTTTTGTATTTTTTAGTAGAGACAGGGTTTCACCGTGTTAACCAGGATGGTCTCGATCTCCTGACCTCATGATCTGCCTGCCTTGGCCTCCCAAAGTGCTGGGATTACAGGCATGAGCCACTGCGCCCGGCTGGAAAAAACATTTCTGTGTATGTGGCAGACACTGAGTTATTGCTTAATGTCCTTTGATTCATTTGCTTAATTTCTTTTATGGATTAGTACAGAAAACAAAGTTCTCTTCCTTGAAAAACTGGTAAGTTTCCTTTGTCAGATAAGGATAGTCATGTAACCCATGACATTTCCCTTTTTGCCTTGGCTTCCAGGAAGCTCAAAGCTAAATAGAATGATCACTCTTGTAATTGTCAGTGTTGATGCCCTCCCCTTCTTCTAATGTTACTCTTTACGTTTTCCTGTTTTATTATTGTGAGTGTGTGTTTTCTAATTCTAAGCTGTTCCCACTCCTTTTTGAAAGCAGGCAAATCGGCCAGGTGTGGTGGCTCAAGCCTGTAATCCCAGCACTTTGGGAGGCTGAGACGGGCGAATCACGAGGTCAGGAGATCGAGACCATCCTGGCTAACACAGTGAAACCCCGTCTCTACTAAAAAGTACAAAAAAACTAGCCGGGCGAGGTGGCGGGCGCCTTTAGTCCCAGCTACTCGGGAGGCTGAGGCAGGAGAATGGCGTAAACCCGGGAGGCGG